TTAATTGTGTGTAATATAAACGATAGATCAGTACCCCTTCTAGACCTGACAGAAGTGCTGACATTTTCAACACTCACATATCAATGTCGGGGCTTCTCAAAGTATTTCTTTCCGATACACCCACCTCCAAGTTTCATGTGATGCCAGACTTGATCGCATATAAGTTTCAAGTTCGCTCTTTTTACATGCATATGACATGCATATGACGTGAAACCAGTACCCTTTTCAGACCAATGCTTTGTAAGCGCCTATCGGAACAGACCCGCAATGTAAGCCAGAACCAAAATGGGCTTTGTGGAAATTTAAAACGAGACTTGTAGACAACAAAGATTTCGAAGTGCGTGTGCGCGAATGTTTCAACAATGCAACAACAAATCATAAATTTGGCATTTTTGCTCAATGGGACTCTTTCAAGCAGGAGGTTAAAAACGAAGCAACTGAATGCGCGTGCATCGCATCGTTTTATGCAAAGCAAGAGGAAACTACGCTTTTTGGAAAATTTACACATTCTTCATGAGCTGGAGTATGAACGGGCACGTGGAGCGAAAGCTCGCGCTGCAGAACCCAGGGATCCTGGGTTCAATTCCCACCTCTGCCCGTTTCTATCTGGATGAGCATCAAACCGGCGTGCGCTCGTGTATCACTACTGCGTGGTGCACGTTAAAGACTCCAGGCTAACAGTTGTACTGCACTGGCTAAATTGCTTATCTACAGTGGGTAACAATGCCGCCATGTTCTGGCAGACTAACCTCCTGTTGTATAAACAACTAGCGACTAATTTGACTTTGACTTTTACTTTTTTTGGAGTGTGAAACACCCGGCTTGTTTTAAGAAGAGATTACACGCGTGAAATGTCAGATACAGCATTATTAACAAAACCGTTATTATGGCGCACTAGTACTGTCTAGGTGCCGACGATTTTATATATCCTCTGAGACACCTTGGCGTCGCGCAATCAACGACTGGATGCGAAATAGACTTTCAAAGAAAAGTGAACTTCTAAATTGTAACGGGACACTCTCAACCGACGAAGACGACATTATGAAAACATTTGAGTTTCATAGTACCAAAACCTGTTTGGGCACAAACAATCCGTAGACAGTCAATTAACAAAGTCCTTGGTCTCTTCGATGCCCAGGTTGACCAGTTTCAACGCGACCTGCTTGGTGGACCAATAGCGCTAGAAGTCCGATGGGCAGTAGACCAGCTACCAAACTCTAAAACACCTGATGGACTCCCCCTCCGAATTTTACAAGAAGTACAAAGAGCAGCTGTGCTTTTTTCTGCTCAAGGTCTTCTTGGAGGCTTATGAAGTGGGATCCTTGCCGCCTACATTTTATAACAGCCACACGGTCTTAATTCCAAAAAGTAGAGGTCCAGATAAGCTCATACACACTGATATCTACCGGCCAATTACTTTATGCAATGTGGACTATGAGATATTCGCTAACATTCTGACAAAAAGTCTTCAATATGTAACGTCCAGTGTTGTCGGTGACCACCATACTTGTGGAATTAAGAGGCGATGCATACAAACCAACATACACGTAGCACGTGCAGTAATAGAAACCTGTGTTCAACATGAAGTTGCCATGGCGCAAGTAGACTTTGCGAAGGCATGCGCCCGGATGTCCCATACTTTCCTCTTCGCTAATCTTCGTCACGTAAACCCAGGACACACAATCTTGAAGGGCATGGCGTTGTGTTACCGCAACTGTGCCACCAGGCTTATAAGCTTATAATCAATGGTTCGCTGGATCATCGGTCAAACAAGAATGTACCCTTATACCCTCTTTGATTTTCTCTTTATCCCGCTAAATTTAGCGGGAAATTTTCCCCTCTATATCTAGCGAAATATTTTCTCCGCTAAATTTAGCGGAAAAAATTCCCCGCTAAATTTAGCGGAAAGAATTCCCCGTTAAAATTAGCGGAAACTTTTTCCCGCCAAACTTAGCGGAAAATTTTCCCCGCTAAATTTAGCGGAAAATTTTACCCTAATGAGAGCCGAGCAGGAGAGGAGGGGCATAACCCCCTCTCGCACCTTCCCCTCCTCCTCCTCAAGAGCTGCGCTCTAATTCGGCGTTACAGGGAGTTGTAAACGGCTTTCATTTCTATCATCTGTATGCTTGATGTTCAGTCCTCTAAACTTTCCATGTAATAAAAAAAATCTTGGTTGTGCTACATGCCTGTATATTAAAATTTAAAAAAAAAAAATCCTGGTTAGCTTAGCTGGCAGAGCGCTCCACCGGAAATGGAGAGATCCCTAGTTCAATACCAGGACCAGACGGTTTTTTTTTGTTTTTGTTGTTGTTCCCCAGTCATTTAGTTTTGTTTGGAGATTTGTGTTTGTCCTCTTGTTCCCCTTTCCAGGGATTATTTTCGACATAAAAGAAGTTGCCTCCATGTGACTGCCTCCTCCTCCCTCTTGAATAAGAGGGATTTTTAAGTCAACCGAGGCATAGCCAACAAGGCGCAGTAGGCAACATCAAATTTGTTGTATGAATCCGTATGGATGCGATGGATGCTTAATCAGCAAGAAGTTAGTCTACCTTAAAGGGATACTACAACGAAATTTCGCCGTTCATTTTTTGGTCTATATGGGTTCAAAAGAGCAGTATCACATGGAACATACCAATACCTTGTTAAAAAAGTCTCGAGGAATTTTAAAACGAATTAAACGATTAGCAAAAAGCACCGGGTGGATGTCGCTAACGCTTCGTTTGTAATGCTCGTCTAGAAACCTTGACAGCTAGTGACGGACAGTGTTGCCATTTTAGCGATTTTGTCGCTAGATTTAGCGATTTTCTATACATTTAGCGACGGATTTTTTTTTAATTTAGCGGCTAGCGACTTTTTTTAGCGACTTTGGTGTTCAACCGTAATCTTGTTATTTTAAAAATTTTAGAGGTGCTCGCGGGCTAAACCTTTTTGCTTCTCTAGGCGAGTTTGCTTTGGGTATATGCTCAATTTAGTGGCGCACTTTAAAAAAAAAATGTCAACACTGTTAACACTGCAGACCATCTCTCCCGCGCCCACGTACTCACGTGCATTCCGCCAAACATCATCCTGACCTCAAAGCTGGCCTCAAAAGGCACGCAAAAACGTGTTTTGACTACGAACTTCCAGAAGAAGTTGTTCGGTGAATCGGCACAGCTGAAGCCTACAAAGCTGACAACGAACCGTCGACACCGGCAGATTTAGGTGACTTGAGTACAGTCACCATCGAGGAAGAACTCTTCTTCTTCTGGACTGTTCCGTTGAACTGTTCTTGAAGACAAAGCAGTCATCATTTCCGTGGTAAAATTAACAAGCACCCGTTTCTTATTCGTACTTTCGTACTTACCGCCTAGCATAGAGATCATACATACTAACTCTAGAGGAAAAGGTCCGCCATTTTCCCATACATTCTGGCTGCCGCAAGCGGCGGATCATGCAGGCAGACCTTCTGGGTCCCAAACACGGTTACATCATCAGAGCAGTTTCGTGAACTTCAACAATTCACGAACTTACCGGTGGAAAGATATTCACGTTCCTTTCGAAGCTTTCTTTTTGAAAAGCGCGCAGATGTACGGCCTCGCGTTAACGCTAAACTAAACCATATACCCGGCTTCGCCAGTGGGGCGCGGCTGGGCGCGGTTGAGGAATACGAAACTGCGCAATCACCAGATTTCCGAGATTTCGACAGAAGGGAAGTTAATGCAGCGTAATGAGTTTATTGCTTTTTATAAGCGTTAGAATAGCTCATAATTTAGTTTACAACGTTAAATTATCACTGTTTATATTGCTAAGAGTTTTCACTCTTCGCGTTACCATGGCAACGTTGCTTTCTTTCTCTCGTGTTCTGTCGCTCTCTTTTGCGTTCGTTCACTCGGGACCCAGGATGTCGGCGCACGGGATTTGCCACTCCTCCTCACCCACCTTTACCCCCCTGCCGCCTAGTCGTTTCCCCAAAAAAAAACATTAAAAATAAAAAAGTCCTAGTTGTTTTTCAGTGTAAATTTAACCTCTCAAAATACCTGCGATATGATTATTTGAGGTTCACTTACTTTAAGAGGGTTTAATAAGCTTTTGGAATTCAGCGAATAGTTTAGCGACTTCCCGGTGAATCTAGCGATTGTTTAGTGACTTCCTGGTCTCAATTTAGCGGCGCGCGCAAAAAAAAAAGATGGCAACACTGGCTGACGGAGGTTGTCTCGTCTCCGGCCACGACGAGAGAAGGGGGGAAGGAGCAAGGAGGTTGGAAGGAGGAACTCCCCTCGTCCCGAGAATCCCTTTTGTGTGTCGCAGAAGTCGCTATTGTCCCCCTAGAAGATTATAGAAGATTAATCCGTCACTCAAAATTCGTACAAAAGCAGCCGCTTCGGTGGCTGGAACGACTAGGCCATCCTCTCGACGTCAGCCTCGCCGTAGCTTTGCTCGTCTTGAGACGACTTACGTCACGATTGCGTTAGATGTCACGCGCTCTAAGCTGGGCCTTCTCCCAGCGCTTGCCAGAGTGGGCCGTTTATAACGAAAAATACAGCCACCAGGATCAAAATACAAACGTGCGATTGTCATTTACGGATATTGTGGATCATATTCAACCTATTTTTGAACACGACGGGAATATTTCAAATTTCGTTGAAGTATCCCTTTAATGTAGCGTCTGTTGTCTCCGTTTCGAAGTGTTGGTAGTAGATATTACCAGCACAATATGATTGCAAGTCTGGGGTGGGCTCTGTCGATTGTGGCGCACAGGTAATGGTTTCGGTTTCGTACCGAAAGAGTAAATTTAAATAAATGCAACCTAAGTTCGTTATTTATTTTAAACACACTTTAATACGTCTGCTTATGTAGAATGTAAACCTGTTTTTGTGGCCTCACCAGGTTAAACTGAGTGGGTGCTCTAATATGGCGCTGACTAACCAGTCTGCTTCACTGTTTCGCATTCATCGTCCTCTTCGGATCTCCATTCGTCGTTAGGACGCTGTTTATCGCGATTTTCGCGCTGGCGCCACTGGCGCGCTGGAAAATAAGGACTGATGAGGACATGAGCGGTTTCGATCCATGAGAGAAATATGGGCAGCCAGTATTGCTTCTATCGTGTCTGCACTTCACTCCTGCTTCCCTGCTCAGTCGGCACTATCGACCAAACAACAAAAGGTCGAGGTTGACCTTGTATACCTCAAGCAGAGAAAGTTCACGTTTCCATACACGGCTCCTCAGCATGACTACGAGAAGCAGAAGGAGATACGGGCCCACGGGCTTCGAAGAAGCTGTGCGAAAACCTTTTGATTTTTACGACGGTGCCTTTAAATTATTATTCTGATTGTGTCAATTTCTTCGTGTTGGGGAGAGCTGTCTGATCACCCATGATGTAATAGCGCAACTGAATGTCCCGGGATGACTTTTTGTTTTGACAGGGCGGATACATGTCCGCGAAAGTTCAAAAGCTGGAGAAACAGTTCTTGCAAAATGCCGAGATTGAGGTGTCGGGGACCGAAACCGGAGAGCTCGCAATATTTCAAGGGATCTCGGTCTTCGTCAACGGTTATACAGGTAAGCGCACCTGGTTAATCATTCAGGTTTACAGACCCGCCTTCTCCCGATCATTTGCAGATCCCTCAGCGGAAGAGATCAAGAGAATTATGATGGTTCACGGTGGAACGTACCAACATTACTACAAGCGCAAGCCCAAGTGCTATATGATCGCCACGAACCTGCCGATGGCCAAGTTGAAGAGCTTGAGGGACTACGTCGTCAGGCCAAGTTGGATCACCGACTGGTATGTCAGCTCACGCACGAGCCTCAAATTAGCCTAAACTTCAGAAGAACATGTCGATGTCATAAGAACACTGACATGTTGAAGAAATCCACGGCCCTTGAATTTTACTTTTTTCGTTTGTTTGCAGTGTCAAGGCTGGCATGCTCCTTCCCGTTCAGGATTACCTCCTCTACTCTCCAGACCTGAAGAAAGGTCAACAAATGATCAACCGTGTGCAATTGGCGGATGATTCGGGAACATCTGCGATGACTAGCGCTGAGGCACACAATGACGAACAAGATGGCTGGCTTTCGTCGGACAATAGTGTTGACTGTAACCTTGAATGTGAGCGGCTGCATGGTGATCAAAACGGCACGGACCATGGCTCTCCGCCGCAGGAGCACAAAAGCAACGACAGTCCGAGATACCAAGCCGGCGATCCTCGATTTCTGCAAGAGTTCTACGGAAGATCGAGGCTTCATCACATCTCAACCGCTAGTCTGAAGCTGAGAGATTACGTCGCGCAGTTGCGTTCTGCCGGCAACTTCAACTTTGTTGGCGTGCAGCGACTCAAGAGCCACCTCGAGGAGCAGACTCTTGCAGAAAGGGTTCAGGTGCCAGGCAAGGTGCTTATGCACATTGACATGGACTGCTTTTTCGTCTCCGTCGGCCTTCGTTCTCGACCGCATCTGAGAGGTGAGCAAGACACAAGCACAGCCCCTAGTGAAATGTCAGTGAGGCTGCCTCTTTCTTTGGTAACCACACTCCTTGCCCTCTTTCGTTCTCTGCTTATCGAGCGTGTTGTGCTTTCGAAAATAATTTCATAAAAATATGTTCACTCTGGAGACAAATGTTCGACATGGACAGACGACCCCCAAGAAATACTGAATGTGTGGGAAGAAATATGCTAAAAGAAAAAAAAAAAGAAACACTACCGAATTATAAAAAAAAAACAAAAAAACAAAGAATTCTACAGCCTTAAATTTGTACCAGTAAAGGTCCCACGTCATCTGTTTTAGTAAAGCCTAATCCGCAAGCTAACTTCAGCAACATCATTCCTAAACGGTGCCTTTTGACAATCAGGCAAGCCAGTTGCCGTATGCCATGGGAAGAACGGCGGCATCCAGCCCAGCTCAAGCCATTCCGGGGCCTCAGATGTTCCCGGCACAAGTGGCAGCGGCGCCGACGGCAAGGGGCTCATGTCCATGTCGGAAGTGGCCAGCTGCAGCTACGAGGCACGGGACGCCGGTGTGCGAAGCGGGATGTTCCTCGGACGAGCCAAGCAACTCTGTCCGAACCTCGTGGCCATCCCCTACGAGTTTGAGAGCTACTCCGAGGTTTCCAAGATCCTTTATGACACTGTTGCCAGGTTGGTGTGTTGGGAGGTAACTCCAGAAGTCACGACATTTGTGACGCAAGGCGCGACTGTGACATTGTTATCTCGGCTCTGTGCTTGCGTCGCGCTGGTCACGTTAGCTGCAGCACGGATATGCGAGTTGCATAAATGGCGCAGAGCAGGGGGATCGGAGTGGCGGACGCACTTCGGTAGGTTAGGTTCGATTTAAAGCTGCATTCAAGGGTGACATTTCTTGTCCCCATTAGCACCCACTACCAATTTTTTTTATAATCAAAAGTTTTGGTCATGGTTAGACTATGGGAAGGTCGACCGTCAATTCTCCAACTATGTTATGCCCCAAAAAGTTTAAATTTAAAAAGCTAGTCAAAGATTTTTTTAGTTCATTAGCTAACAAATTAACATATTTCGCTTCTTTTCTACTGGCCACCTACGACTAGGAGAACCCTTGTGTGAATTATTTTTGTTACAAATTCTGGACCCTCTAAAAAGAAATCGCCCTGTGTATAGGGTAGTCGGGGCCTTTTCTGCTCATTATTCACACCATCCTAAAAATGCACATGTGCACAGTGTGGCATCTACTTATCATTTTCATCAATGTTAAGGACATTGTTTGAAAATAAAAATTATTTTACAACTATAATTGGGTTAGAGACCAGTCCCCAGGAGAAAGTGGAAAAATGTGCACGTTTATAAGCCTCATAGTCTTCATATTTGTCTCTTAAGGTTCCAAGCTTGGACATGCTTGTCTATCTTTCCTAAAACAAATTAACAATTTTGAATATTTTTTACAATAATATACCTACTCTGTATGTTGCTTTCAAGATTTAAATGATTGCCCCACAGGTAGGTCATAAGGCATATATGGGTTGACAGGCAACTGAAATGTGTAATGGAAACTGTTGTTTTCCCCCCAGTTACACCTTGGATATTGAGGCCGTGAGCTGTGATGAACTGTATGCTGATGTCACGAAGGTCCTGCAAGAGGCAGAGTGTACACCAAACGACTTTGCATCATTCTTGAGGAAGGAAATCGAAGAGAAAACATGCTGCACGGCGTCGGTCGGCCTAGGTGAGTAGACCGACATTTAAGCTTCTATCATATATAAAGATTTGTAATCTCTATAGTGTTCTTCATCCGAAACTGAAAGGTGTTTTCTGAAAGATAAACTGGCAACATTTGACGACCGACCATTCAGCCTGGAAAAAAGTCCTTGGTTCTTGATCATCAGAAACCAATGCTGCCAGTGCTTCAAGAGCTCTCCTAGTTTTCCTTAGAAGTACTGGACTGAGTTCACGGCTTTGAACTCCATTCCTTCCAGAGTGACCAAAAGTGTAATCCCAACTCCTGCATTATGATACCGTCGTCACCGACATCCTTCCCTTTTTAATTCTTGTCATCTCTTTCCTCCACCTTTTAATCCCTGTTCTTCAACCCCTAGTCTGGAGTAGCCTGCTAGGCAACCCTGTCCACCTTTTCATTTTCTCTATCACGCTCTCTGTAATCTCTATATATCATTTTAACACAGAATGTGTTTATGGCCTGGATTTCATGGAAAAGTGTGATGCTCGAGTGTGATGAAAAAGCGTTGCACACAGATCAAGGCAGCACAAAGGATACATAGCCCGTAGCAGGCAATGCATAAGCATTCAAAGCATACAGAAGGCAGAATAAGCCGTAATAATTCATACATAATCGTAACTAGGAACAGCCAATTGAAACCAGAGTGATTCACTAAGGAGTTCGGCAGAATTTGAACCCCGGAACACGCAATCCGCAATCCTACATCTTTGCTCAGCGTCACGAGTAATAGATGAATGAGAGCACAAGGAGCTGGACGATGTACAACCTGCCACCGACGGTCGCCTGCGGTAGCACGCAACTGTCTACGGTTTAGTTCAGCATACTCATTCCGCAGGCAACCGTCGGAGGCAAGTTATACCCAGTCCATAATCCGCGGGCTACAGTCGCTGGCGAGTTATGCTTAGTCAATCCAGCGCACATAGTGTGCGGGGCCGTCGTCAGCGAGTCACACTGAGTCCAGTTTGCTTCGTCCATAGGCGACCGTCAGCGGCAGGTCACACTTAGCCCAGCACACTTATTCCGCAGGAACCGTTCACGGCGATTCATACTTAGTCCAGCATACTTGCTTGTGTACCGCAGCGTACGGATGGGTGGCGATTCATACTTACCTAGTCCATCATACTTATTCCGCAGGCGACCGTTCCCGGCGTGTCATGTTAGTCCAGTAAACTTTGTTCGCGGGCAACTGTCGGCAGCAAGTCGTATACTTAGTTTGACATACTGAGTTTGTGACAGTTGGCAACGAGCCATACTTAGTCCATCACTCTTCGTCCGCGGGCGATCGTCGGTGGCAAGTCCTACTTAGTCCAGCATAATTATACTTAAATTCTGTCAGAGCCAACGCTATGATACGACGGAGCCAACCAGGCGGTGCAAAATGGGCATAATCGCAGCGCATCGGTTGTGGGATGTCGGAGCTTCGGAGAAAAGTCAATTGGCAAGAGTAAAGAGTGCAATAAGCCTCCTCTTCTCGCAATTAACTCCAGCTGCCACTTAAAGGGGCCCTGACAAAATCTTTTTTTTTTATTATCTGAAACGATTGAAAACGATGCCGGTACATTACTCTCAAAATTCGAAACTTGGGAATTCAGTATTTGTGAAGTAAAAAACAATTTCCAAAAGCCGAATTCAAAGTATCTGCGCCGGAGCGTTGACGTCAAATATTGCAGAGTCCTGAGAGTCCACTTTTTTTCGCGACTCCGTGCTGTTGCCACCGCGACCCGATGCGAGGAGGAAAGAAGGTCCGGGAGATAGGGTGATAAGGGCGCCGGCGGACAGAGAAAAACCGGTTTTATTTTGTCCGTGCGAGCAATGTCGCCTGGCCAGGTGGCATGTTTTTCTAGGGAGGATACAATTCGAGAAGGCTACATCACACCGGACTCCGATTTTGGGTATTTCAAAAAGAAGGGCCATAGTGTGTTCGCAATTGCGTTAAAAAACGTGTTTTACGATTGCCGTTATTAAATGTTATAGAAATGTCGCCTACAAACCTTCTAAATTTCATGATTTTTGACGTCACGAATCAAAAGAAGCGAGAAGGCGAAGAGCGGGAGAGGAGAACTCCAAAAATCAACAATAAAAAGGTGCGTGCGCGCCTAAAAAGATTTTTTTTCGCATTGCAATTTTTTTTTTTTTTTTTTTCGTGTTTATGATTACAGCTTGCATCGTTTTAGACAATAAAAAAGAAATATGACTCTTGGGGTGTCAGTGCCCCTTTAAGGGGTTCCTGAAGATCCGGTAGCACTAAGAATTCGAGGACCTACACGCATTCACCAAAGAAGCGGGAGTGGCGGGAAGCTTCTCGATAGAACATGCTCGCGACACACTGTACTCCCGAAGAAATTTAAATTTGTCTCGATAGTTCCGACGAACCGGGAGATCCTACAAGTGTGTTGTGTGTGCGGCGAATCCGAAGCCACCCAAAGCTCCCTGCAACCAAGCGTAGCAAATGATAATGCACGCATGAAGCATGCACGACACGTCCTATGTTCCCCGGGTTTATCAGAATGGTTGAGGCAGGTTAAATTTTTTTTAAGACGTAAGTGTCTTTTGGGTAGGATCTAAAGGCGGCACGATTGACTTGCCTGTCAGATTGCACATGTGCTTGTTTTTCTGTTTTGCCCCAAACAGGTCCAAATATGTTAGCCGCAAGAGTAGCGAACCGGTCTGCCAAACCAAATGGTCATCGGTTTGTTTCTACGAGCGAGCTCCTGGAGTTTTTTAAGGCCGTTGCTGTGAAACATCTTCCAGGTATGGATAATGAACAGGTTCCTACTGTTGTATTCGAGTACCGAGGAAGCACCTGTTCCAAGTTCCTCAACTGTGCATGGGTACATACTTACTGCCCCAGTTGGATGCATGCTTGGAAACACTTGCTTTTTCAAGTTCTGGAATTAAAGGGAAATGAAGGGACGTTATTTGCTCACGTTAGCGTGCCCTCTCAGTGTTTTGCAGCAAACAATAGAAACAAAAAAACAATCTTTGGATAGATAGATCTGCATCTTCAGAAGATTGTGCTATGTTTGAGTGGTTGTTTACATTGTAAAAGTGGGTAGAACAAAAGGACCCAGAACACACAAATGTCGGTTTTACCGCAGCAGCTGCAGGAAATATCAAAAGAGAAAACTTCACCTGGACGTCTGGTGTAGACGAGAAGCCATTTGCCCGCAAATAAATTTCCTCTCGTCACCATTTTATATCTCTGCTCTAGTGATGGCTCTGCTACTTTCGTTTTGCACTTGCGTTTGTCTAGTACTATACAGCAACACAGTTTGATAGTATATGTAGTAACAGCATTGCGAAAAATCCTGCTAATATTGCGGCTTTGTCGACTGTTGCATTTGCTACGCTTTATTTGAAATGTTAAACGTTAAAGGATATGTATGTTTAATTATGAGCAAAATATCTACAGTTGGCATGAAAGAGTGTGAACAGTGAGGCTTCGTTAAGCATTAATCTTTTTAACAATCTGTGTTCTACCTCTGCTGGCGAATTTCTCGGTTGCAGATACCATTTAACTTCTGCTTGCAAAGCCAAGTTCTCAGGTGTATTTTATTTTAGCAAAGTTCTCAGGTGTATTTGTTTTATCCTCAGGTGTATTTTATTTGGTGGAAGCTCCTCTACTGCCCTTATTCATTTGTCCCTAATTATGATTTTTTTACTTTTTCAGCAGATACATTCTGAAAGCATAGCAGATATATTGGCAGCTTGCACATTAGCTCGGCTTTCCTTTGCAACAAAACTCGTGAAATGTAACTTCCAGGTGTCGGCTACAGGCTCCAGTCTCAGTTGACAGACATGGGGATTGAGACATGCGAGCAGCTGCAGGCCGTTTCTATGGAAACTCTCAAATCAAAGTTCGGGGTCAAGACCGGCACGCTGTTGTACCAGCACGCCAGAGGGAGCGATGACAAGGTCCTCCAGTTCAACAAAGTGCGGAAGTCGGTTTCGGCCGAGGTCAACTATGGAATTAGGTTCAAAGAGGTGGGAACAATTAATCCGTGGAACGATCTGGTCTGACCTTGTCGGGTGTCGTCGTGCAGGCTAACGACATGAACAAGTTCATTGGTCAACTATCCGAAGAAGTGGAAAAGCGACTTCGTGAAGCCGGGGTTCAGGGACGAGCAGTCTCGCTGAAGTTGAAGGTATGTTTTTCCAAAGCACCTGTGTTGTTTTTGATTCCCAACCTTTTACTTCCACTGGTAAAATGTGTGGCTATACAAGCTTGTTTCATAACAAAAAGATGTGCCACATTATCTCTAAACATTGATTAAAGTGGTGTAATAGTAGTTTGTGGCAGTCGTGTGCAATAGGCCTGAATTAGGTAGGTCTTGCCTTTGTCATAAGACACTTCAGCTGCGGTCTTTCTTGTACCTAAATACTAACCGGCTGGATTTTGATGGATGGGTCTCATTACGTAAGTCTTTGTTTAGAAATTTTAAAAAATGTTAATAAAACCTTTATGAATAATCTGCAAAGCCCATGGTAAGGGAAAAGCCAAGAAGTTTGTTACCAGAACCAAATGCAGTTGCATAGTCAAGTTCTCAAACTTCTTGAGTCGGTTTTCATCCCTCACACCTCCATGATTCCTTCTGTGTGAACCATTTAACTCATTTTCCTCTGTGCCTCATTGCCTCTAGCACATTTCAGTTTTATTACTTTTATTTTTTCACTGCTTCTATTTATCAATCCTGCTGACCTTCGTTTGCACAATTCAGTTCATCAAACCCGTCGGATACATCCACGGCATATTCCCCAATCATGCACCAACTTCGAACGTCAAAGAGTTAAGCATACACTTTCTGAACTATTAAATTATATTGCATCCCCAACATTTGATGTCATGTCACTAAACGAAAACAACATGCCTAACATTTTATAAAAGTGCACAATGTTTGGTTATTTAATTTTTTTATTATTTTTTGCTGAAATTTTGTGTGTGTGGTTTTCCTTGAAGGAATGCCCAGCTGCATAAAATCGGCCTTTTTTTTATTTGGTTTCTCCTATCGCCGATGATGGAGATAAACCATGTTAGAACGTGAGAATACAACATGTGCATGGCATTTGTGTGGTGCTAAAAAGGCCGTTGTACATTACAGGTCCGACAGAAGGATGCACCCCTGAACCCCACAAAGTTTATGGGTCATGGAATGTGCGACAACATCACAAAATCTGTCCAGCTTTTGGCTGCAACGTCGAGCGCAGCAGCCATTAGTAGGGAGTGCTGTAATCTTGCTGCTCAGTTGCATCTTGTACCTTCAGACATCAGAGGGGTAAGGTGGACGTCCATCCTTCCCTAGTTATTTCACATTGTTCTAATAAAAAACAAAACAATTTTGAAATTCACTTTTTTTTTTTTAATTATGTAGTACATTTTTTTTTTTTGGATTATAAAAAGCGCACGTTAAAACACTATTTTTTTAACCAGAGGCCAGTTACTTTGTTTTCTAATCTCATGACCATCTTCAACACAGATGCAAACAAATAATTTTTTAGTTCATCATCTTTCTAGAGGATGTTTATGATTTAGGTGTTGCTTTAGATGGCTCATTTCTAGCATGTCAAATTGTAGTGGTGATTCCCTTCCTCTCTTTTAGCTAGTTACAACACGATCGCAGCAATCTACGTATTTATCAGTCTATTTATTGCTTAATTGCCCTGCAGGGCATTACAGTAGAACAGTGATTCTCATTCTGGATTCCATGGAACATAGGGGTTCTGCGAGCTGGTCTCATTGGTTCAGCGAGCACCCAAATTGCAGTGGTACCCCCCCCCCCCCCCCTCCTCTCCCCCTAGTTTAACCTTCCACAGACTGAGCCATAGATAGAGTTGATGTAGAGTAGGGATGTCGCGAACCACCCTAGGTTCAATTTCGAAAGGTTTCGATATTTGCGAAGCGAACTGAGGTTCGATTTCGAAAAATTTCGATATTTTCGTACCGACCGAGGTTCGATTTCGAAAAATTCGCAACTTTTGTCCACAGCGGAGATTCGAATTCGAAAAGTTCGAAGCTTTCACGGTTTCTAAAATTTCGAATTCGAATATTTCGAATATATTTTACTTCAGGTTCGATAAATTCGAAGATTTCGAAATTTTTTGTAAAAAAGATTCGAAAACTTTGAACGCTTCGAATTTTTATAGACATGAAGTTCGAACAATTCGAAGATTTCGAATTTCTTTTTCCATAAAGTTCGAAAATTTCAAAGGTTTCGATTCTCTTTTAACGCTAAATTAAAAAAAAAAAAAAAAAAAAAAAAATTTGAAGATTTTGAATTATTTTCTAATCCAAGTTTTCAAAGTTCGAAGTTCGATTTTCAAGTTTTTCCACAGTTTCAGTTTCAAATAACGTTTTCACGACTCACTGGTTTTCACAAAATCAAGTTTAGAAAAGTTAGGGTGTGATATCTAGATTCTGCGAAGTTGGTCAGGCAATTAAATGAGACGACGAGTGTCCCGGATGTGCTAGCATATTTGCCAGTGCTATGGTGCCTGGATCGCGTCTTCGACTGGTGTGTTTAGCGTCCTATGCTGCCCATACATCAAAAGTGGTCCCAATGTGGCAACAAATGACGCGAGTGTCATACTGTTGCCAGTCGCGATCCTGGCGGTTGGCCGTAGAAATGCTGGCGAAAAGCACGAGCGAACGCGAGTGTCGCTTTCGTCGCGGCGTCCCTTCAGGCGTCCCAACTTCCGGCTGCTCAGCTTCCGTGAACTGTCACAGTGGGAAGCGACCTGCAGCAGAACAGGCGTCTGCCACTCCTACCACAACTGTTGGGGCGCCGCCAGGGTCGCAACAGGCGACAGCATGACACTGCTATGACGTCATCAGGCAGAAATCGAGGGACCACTTTTTTGGCCGCGGTAAACACACCAGTCGGAGACGCGTTCCAGGCACCATACCAGTGCAGAATTGTGACCGCCAGCCCCGTGGGGGGGGGGGGGTTTAACCTGCATCAAGCAGTAATGATTGCACGAACACACTGTTTTACGAGACTCTTCCAGTTCGAAACGGCCAGGGGCGAGCAGGAGGTTGAGGCTCAGAAAAACCATGAAGCGACCTGGCAAACTAGCTCGCCACCCCTTGCACGCTGGTAGTAATCCGATCCGGTGAAGTTTATAATTGTCCTGGAGGTTTATTTTCTGGGACGGAGGAATCGCCTCGCAAAAAGCACAAAAGCCGACACAACTCGAGGTCGAGGAGCGTTCTACCATACAAGTGGCGTCGGAAGAGGAAAAACGGGGGGAAAGAGGGTAGGGGGGGGGGGGGGGGAGGGAGGGGAGGGAGGGAGGGAGGAGAGGGGAGGGGAGGGGGAGGGAGGGGCTTTAGCCTCGTTCTTCCCCTTGCAGGTATTTCGGACTGTTAAAGAAAACAATACGGGGAAAGAGGGCTTGGTCGAGCTTATTTTAATCTGAAATTATTTATGCATATGTATAGCTACTGTCGCTCTTCACTGCATAAAAGGTTGCGTAGATGGTCATTGTTAGAAACTCGTTGTCAGAAGGCACTGCTCGTCGCATGCTTGAGGTTCGGAAGTTCAAAGCTGTCTTTTTGACCTAAACACCTGTGCCGATAGTAACAAAAGAAAAAAAAAAAAAGAATAAATGCGGGAATAAAAAGCAGGAGAAAAAACAAAGTATCAAGAATTCGTCGGAAGTGTTCTATTCTTGCATATTCAGAGGTTCAGAACTTCGAAACAAGTTTCTTTTACCAAAGTGTGTACAGGCTAAAAGAAACACGTCCCAGGAACGTGAAGCGAAAAAAAAAAAGTTTTCTTTTAATGACGTGCTGAACTTGAACACTACTAGAAATCTTCTCCCATGAGTTAATTTATTTCTTAACGTGAAAAAACAATAAATATATTATTTTGTATTCTGCAGATGGCAATGATATGTACTGTCTGTGGTGTTAATTTAAATGCGATACCTCAAACAACTTAGACGAAAATAAATATCAAGTTTAGGTCATAATTGCATGCAGATACATGTTTGGACATTTCTTCGAAACTCACGTTGAATAACAATAATCACATCTTAAAACGGCACTTACCTAGGCTATACATAGATCATTCTTAAAAAAGTATAACTTATCTACCATGAATAGCTCCGGCTGCAGCGTGCTTCAAATCTGGCACAAACGATAATCGTCAGAAACCCGTCGTCCTTCCTCGCCCCTTCGGGGATTTATTTCTTTAAACCTAAGCATGCCAGAACATTGAAATAAACGACATTGTCTTTCGTAAGGAACGCAGCACCGCGTGTAAAAGTTCGAGAAAAAAAAAATTACGAATGTACCCCACTACTTGAAATCAAATGAAACCGTCCGCCGGTCTTTCGAAGTTCGACGAACGTCGAACTTTTACCCTAAAAGTTCGAAGTTCGTCGAACTTCTGACTTTTCAGAGTTCGAAAGTTTGAAACTTTTCGAATTCTCTTGATAAACAAGTTCGAAAGTTCGAAATTCATCGAATTTTTTGGTCAGTCAAGTTCGACAAGCATCGAACCTTGCAGCGCAATAAATTCGAAAGTTCGAAAAAGATTGAATTATTTAGCGTAATAAGTTTGACGGTTCGAAAAGCGTCGAACTTCTTAGCTTAACAAGTTCGAAAATTCTACATCCGTCGAATTTTACGATATAGACAATTCGAAAAATCGAAATCTTTCGAACCTTTCGAACCGCTTGATTCGATCATCGAAACTTCGATTCGAAAAAAGTTCGCGGCATCCCTAGTGTAGAGGGAGGCTTAAGTATTAAAATAAAAAAGAAACAATAACAACCATAATTCAGAGGGCCAAGCTAGACAAACTGACACACAATGAAGAAAAGCAGAAGCAGCAGCCTCAGCTCACAAAACAGACATTAATATTGATGTCATATGTACATATTTATGTTAACTAATCAACCAGATGTAGCAAGAGGCAAAGTATAAACTTCCTCCCTCAAAAAAAAAAAATGACTGGACTCAACTGGACCTTTTGAGCTTACAATTTCACTCGGCAAGCTATTCCATTCCTTTATGGCCAATCAAAAGAAAAAGTTTTAAAACCAATAATTGACTAGCATTCCCAAATTTTTATATCCTATATTTGTTTTGCAACCTACGAGTGGCTAAATTCATCTTTGTGCACACCTAGCTGTCCAAACTTGAATCTGTCCTTGTGCACGAAGCTTGACCATTGCTAGCTGGGAGATGTTTATTTCCTTCTTATCCATCTCTTGCATCAGGTGGGGATCCAGGTGGGGAGGCTTGAGCCCCGGCAAGGAGTCCAGTCCTGCGCTTCCAAGACCATGCTGGACTTCCTGACGGACAACAGGTCCACCTTGGGGGCCGCTCACCCTTCCGCCAGGGAGGGGGCCACGCCCGGGGAAGGGGGGTCGACAGCCACTGCCGCAAATGGCCTCGGGTCACCTCCGCAAGCCGTGTCGCTGCCAGCTTTCTCAGAGGTGCGTCCGAAAGGAAGAAAGAAATTTAACTCTTCGCTGTGCGCTTGAGCATGAGGGAAGCGTATTAGTTCCCAGTGAGCTTGACCGAGCCTTTGAACCTGTTTGTTCATTTTAATTTCAATTCTACGCGTATGAATGGACGGAATCTGTTTTGTACGATTGTAAGCACCCGTAACCGGCCTTCTCTAGTGTTACTGACGGCTTCGAAAAGAAACGCGGGGCATGGCAGGTTCTGAGCATCTCGTTTACGCTGCACAGCCGACGAGATTGCTGCATTCGAGAAGAGCAAAGCAGGGAGCGTGAACATGACAAACCGCTATGCCTGAATATAGGCTTTAAAATATATAAATTGCACTTGCCTTTTTAGAGCACAGCTCTTAGGCACCCGTTTCCGGCTTGAGCGGTGTCGCCGTCGGCGTAAACGCGCACTGCATTATGGGACGCTTCTCATAATGACGTCATGTGTGACGTCACGAGGGCAAAACTTTCCCACTAAATGTGGCAGAAAATTTTTCCGCTAAGTTTAGCAGGAAAATTTTCCAGTTAAATTTAGCGGGGAAATTCTACCCTCGTGACGTCACATGACCCTTTCCTCCATACTTTCCCCTCCCCATCCTCAAGAGCTGCACTCTAATTCGGCATTACAGAAAATTGTAAACGTCACATATCTTTTTTTTTTTCTCAGGTCTTTCTGTGAAAAGGGTTTGTTTGTGTTGCAGATTGATCCAGCTGTCCTTGAGAGTCTGCCGGAAGACATCAGGCAGGAAGTCCTCACGATGTATCGAGAGAGCCGGCGCAACCCTTCGCGCACAAAGTGAGCATGCAGTGTTGCTAAATCGAGTTGTGAGTAAGTCTCTGGATAGCTTTGGCGTCGTACACTACAGTCGACTCCCGTTAAAACGAAGTTCACGGGGACCGTGAAAAACTTTGAATTAAACAAAACTTCCAATTAACCACAAGGAACAAAAAGAGTAATTTTTATTACCTAATTTAAAAACCAATTGTTTATGAAAAAAAAAAAAATTGGTGATTGCCATTTGCTTCTTTTTGCAGAATCTTGCTGCAAAAAGTAAGTTCTACAGACTGTAGATGTGCCCTAGTGCTTCTTCAGCATTGTTCTCAGCTGCGAAAAACTTCTGCGCGAGGGCTGGCCGCAGCTACATCAGCAGCCGGCGGTTGCGGCTCAGTTTCAACGTCATCGTCGATTTCACTTTCATCGCTAGCCTCGCATAGCCGAACACTCTCAATGATTTCAATGTCCGTCAGCGCACCGCTTGTTTCCACTCTGCTGTCCACTGCAACGTACTCTTCAAAACGGACGTCGCCGAGAGCCGCTGCAAGACTATTGTCGTCAAGCTCACTTGTCTCTGCTTCCTCCGTTGGACAAGACGAATCACTCCCTGAAGCGTTTGCTATGAAACCGCAGGCCCTGAAGCACTTGCTCGAACTCCGGGTGGGCGCTGGTGCGCGTCCTTTTTCGAGACATCTTGAATTGATCATTCTCGAAAGCATCCAGTATCGAGCGCTTGTTGTTGATGAAGTTTGAGAGGGAGTTAGGCTTGATGCCATAGTTCTGTGCAAGGTCTTGCTTGGCGGCACCTCCTTTCTCAACTTCTTTCAAAATCTTGACTCTCGCGGCCAAGTCGAGCGTGCGATACGATCCACGAGTTGTCATTGTCGCGACTGCAGCCGAAATGCGGCATGTGGAACCACCGGTGGAACAAGACCACCGCACTCCCGAACCAACTCGAGAAAAGACGCGGAAAGAGACAAAGAAAACGATGCCATGGTTCCAACGTGCGGCTTGCGCCAGTCTTGACTGTTTAATCTTGCCGCCTCACGAGCTGTGGCGCTGTGGTCGGCTGCGATGCCGACGATACCAGTGCGGTACACAAAGCTGTTTTTGCACTTCAAAACTTGCAAATTTATCAAATATTACGGTTGCCTCGAGGCTTCCATTTAAAAATCAACTTCTAATTATCCGATATTTTAGACTTTTTGCTTCCAATTACCGAGCATTTTTTCCCAAAGGATTGCATGCCGAACTGATGGGACCCTCACTTCACTTCCAATTAAGCGACAATTCCAATTAAGCGACTTCGAAGTATCGGGAGTCGACTGTACCACAGCAAATCAAGTTGTATCGGGGTAGAAGTAAATTTTTTTAATATCATAATTTGAATTAGCTAATCTGCTATTGGCAAAAAAAAAACAATTTACTCCATCGAATTCAGGAAATTATGAGTACAAATATAGAACCCTGCATTTCTGCAGAAGTCGGGGAAGTATCGCATTAATTGCTTAAATTTGTTCTCGAATGAAGAAGTACCACAAGTTATTAACCCTTGCCTACTCATATTTTCTTCGAGGAACGTACAGTGTAGACCGCATATAACGTATGTTGCGGGAGTCGCAAAAATCCGCACTATAAGCGGTACCGCACTATAACCAAAACATCAATTTTTCAGGCCAAAATACATGCCATCAGACAACTTACCTATGTAAAAGAATTTATTTTATGTTAGATGAAAAATAAAGCTTAGTTTGAGGAAAGTCTTTATTTCACCAGACTAGGTAGTACACTTCTCTCTCAAGTGTGTCACACATTTTGAAAGAAATGAGCGACTTTTGCCTGGCGCAGCCTTTTAACGGCGTCGCAGGTTACGGACGGACGTTGCGAGCGTTCAGTATTGCTAACCCTAATCACTTTTCTCCGGCGATGAAAACGCGTGAAAATTCGCATCCTTTACAGGGTTGGGCAGAAATACTCAAAAATGTATTTGGAAATACAAATACTGGGATACATTGAAATAGTAGCTAAAATACTGATACTAAGATACATCTGTAAAAATGTATCGCGATACGTATCGGAAATACATTTTAAAAAGTGGCAAAAAGTATTTGGAAACACAAATACAGGAATACATTTTAGGGAGGGCAGAAATACAATGCTGATGCTGAAATACATTTTTCAAATTTTTTGAGACGCCAATTGAGATGAAGCTTGAAGTTTGAAGTGGATGTTTTCGATCCCGAAATTACATTCCCGTAGGCTTGGCACTTTGCCTTAAAGGTAGTGGTTTCGGACGACAAGGAGTCTTCAATGGGCCCAAAAAAACGTTCCAACAATTGCTGACCGTGGTCCCTTCCATGACATCCTCTCTGTCTGACGAGGGAATCCTGTCAACATTGATCACATTATGTCGCGGCGGAATGAACTAGAATTCTTTATCTGTAGGTGTGGCCTTGAACATGAAACTTTACCATGCTGCTGTATCAAAGGACAATGCGCACTTTCGTTGTAGGCTACCTAGCTGAAGATCGTGCATGCAGTGTCATTTGGAATTTTTGAGAATAGTGGACCACCTGGAGAATCTTGGAATACATGTCTTATCTTCTGTTTTACAGTTGAAAAAACGATACGGTAGCATCCCTGTTCTGATGGTCCTTACTACCGACCCTCCGCCACGGACGCACGGATTGCAGTCCTCAAGTTTTGCCTAGCATACTCCAAATAGAGACCTCGTGGATTACGAGCTGATATTGCCGGCACAGGTGCGAGCTGTCCAAGAAACGGCGGTCTCGAGACTAGTTGCGGGAGTACGTAGTCTGGGTGGCACAGCGATGCCACTTCTGGCCTCCTTCTGGGTTTCGGATCACCAGAGCAGCGGGTCACGTTCACGTCGGCTGATGACGTACTGTTGAGCCGTGCAATATTACGGGCGCAGCCGCAGATGCATTCGGATATGTGTTGAACTTCACAGCATGAGTCTTCCTACTATTTCAAGTCAGCCACCGCCTGGCTCGTGCTGCAACGGAATGTGACTCAGCTTTGCCGGCAGGATGTACTCTGTACGCTAAGGCGAGAGAGACGGTTAGCAGCGGGCATTGGATGCCAGGAAACAATGACTCAAGAAATCCCTACCTAAAGACCTGCGGCAGAAGATGCTCTGACTCCACTCCTGGCACGCCACCTGGTTCGAGTTTCCCACTACGCAACACTTCTCAGAAGAGAGAAGAGGACTAATAGAAAAATAGTTTGCAGAATCAAAAGGAACTAATTGGTCAGCATAGTAACAATACCCCAGCATCTCCTTGACTCTGGTGCCCTTAGAAGTAAAAAAAAAAAAAAAGAAATGCTTTCAAACTTGTTTCTTTTTTTTTTTTTTTTTTTTTTTTTTTTCGGGGGGGGGGGGGGGGGGGGGGGGGAGTATTTTTCAAGAATTGTAACGAAATACACTTCATCGTGATTGTATCGCGATACAAAGGAACATTCAAAATGTATTTCGATACAGGAATACAGATACTGGTGAAAAAAATGTATCGCGATACAGAAATACAGATACGAAATGTATTTCTAAAATACTATCGCGATACATTTGTATCGCGATACTGCCCAACCCTGATCCTTTATACGGTACGCGCCGGTAATACCTTCAACTTGAGCACAGGCATGAAATGCTCCAAATAAGAAATCCGGGCGATGTTCGAAAACACAAAAAGCACCACTGTAGTCGAAGTAAACAAACACGACGACACGGGCGTTTCTGCCGTCTTGAGAGTGCCGCCACAACATCGCCGCACGAGTAGGTGGATCTTCCCTTCTAGTACGTGCTGGGTTATCATAACGACACACAACGAAAATTCACAGTCAAGGATAGCACTTTTACGCGGAACGATGAGCCTCCATCACGCAATCTACGTCGACGATCACAACCGACGCCATGTTTGCGGAAAGAAGCAGCCGGCCCGCGACCGGCATGCAACGCGTGCGAACACTTCTCGACCTGCGATTGGTCTGTCGTTGCGGTTGCTTCCAACCATCGCAGCAGAGGGACGCACGCACGAGAACGACACGTGCATGCGTCCCTCCATCGCTCTGGCCACTGCAGCCTCTCTCTTCGCATCTCCCGGTTTCTTCGAGCAACCTTCTTGCCCCGCGAGTGCTGCTCGCGGCTCGCGCCGTTATCTAGCGCCGCACAGGGAAGCGTGCTCGGTGCGCCGGTCAGTCGGCACGGCCGCCGGGCTCTTCCAGAAACCGCACTATAACCGGTATTTCCCTTCGCGCGCCTGCATTTTAAGCGGTATGCAAATACATGGAGTTCTATGGGAGGCGAACCGGTGGTTTAAAAAAGCCACGTTATACCCGGTCCTGCACTATAAGCGGTTACGTTGTAAGTGGTCTATACTGTACAACAAAATTTAATTTTAAACGGGCAGTCTGCGTTAAAATAAGAAATAATTTCCTTGATTTCCAGCTTTCATATCTTGCTCTAAATTGGCACTTCTGGTCAAAGTCCCACTGACGTGCAGATGTCGAAGTTGATGGAATGCTCGCAGGATTCACATTGTTTTCATCACTTTTGTCACTGCCCATAAAACTATCGTCCGATTCCTAAAGATCAAAAAGGCCGAAAGATTCGTTGTCACATACGCCCGAGCATTAATCTCTTTCAAAAAGAAGGTTTTGTATCTCTTTGTCGGCTAAGGCGGACATCCACGCCAAAGCCATGTTGTTTTAGTATGAACGCTGACGAGCAACTGCTTTTTTTTTCTTGGCTAAAGGGAGCTTTCTCTCTCTGTCGGAGAGCAAAACAAAGAAGCAAACTGACCAAGGTAAATGGAGCAACACGGGTGGTTTTGTCATCTGCCAGAGAGCGCGCTAAACAAGTTTCGAAACCGAAATGCGAGTCACACTTATGATTGGGCTTCATGGTTTGTATTGATGAGCAACACTTGTTATTAGTAGGCAAGGGGTTAAAATTATAATGAAAATTGCCAAATTCGAAATTACCTACTGTAAAATCCCCCTAAGCCCAAAATGAACAGATAAATGGTGAAAAAAAGGGGGTGGGCTATCTTTGAAGATGAGACAGCAAATCTTATGAAAAATTAGTGATAAAACACCAGGGTAGCCTCTGCAAACCACGTGAAAAGGGAACTGATACCGCGGTCTCGGACACAGTACATTTGCATTTCACGACGTGATAAACATGCGGAAATTCACTGTAAACTCCTGCGTCACGGGAATCGATCGTGGTAAAAAAAAATGCAGGAACCCTCTATGAACTCGCATGTCAAGGGAACGGATAGCACAGGTCGCGGACGCAGCAGGTTCGCATTTCACGATGCAATAAACGTGCGGGAACAACTCGCGTATTGCTGGAACCAATATCGCACGCGCAGATCGCGGACAGAGACGCGTGAATCCGCTACAAAATCGGGCCGGGATAGGCAATCTCTCGGGGGGGAGGGCGTCCTTAAAGGGGCCCTGCAACAACTTTTTGACTGACTTTTAATTTGCACCGATCCTGAGCTCACTGAACGTAGTAACTTAATGAAACTTTTCTTTTCTCAAATTTCGCTTTATTTTAAAAATTATAGTAGGCAAATTAGAATTACAAAAACAAGCAAAAAATAACCTCCTTCATGACGTAGTAGGTCCTGGCTTGAGCGGCCGTGAACTAGAGGAGGGATAGTGAGCTCATCAAGTGCTCACGGCTGCCGCACTCCGTGTCGACGGCTCGAGAGGGCGCCACTAAAGCACGTGGTGGATAAGCTGTATGAATAGGGCGGTCAGGGCGGCTCGCATTGCATTTGCTGCACGATTAAAGACTAATTCGGCATAACACTTCATTGGCCACAAACGACAGCAAACACGGGGTAAATATCAGTTCAGAGCGGGAGCCACTTCGCGCTGCCATACCTCCAAATGGCAAAATCGCCAGCATAGCCCGCGCCGAAAGCCTTCGGAACGCTTGGAACCGGTCGGATCCTTGACCGCAGCGCCAGCGCTGCCCCGTACATCCGGGACCTTTTTTCGCACGCCGTTAGTCGGCGCCTCATCCCACTAGCCCTTTCTAGTATGCGCCGTTTTTTTTGCCGCTTGGTGGTGGGTATGTCGACGGGTCATTTCTTGTTTCCGTACTTTATAAACTGCATTTGTTTCTTTTCTGATCTCAAATACCGAACAAAAACTACTTTCATACATAATTGAAACGGTTCGCGACACTTATATTTTGTATCTCCACTAAAAAAAAAAAAGCTTTTAGCGAGTCTGACCAGTAGCAAGCCCAGGACCAAAGACGTCCGATATTGCGCGCTTTCGCCAACGCGGGTCGCCCACGTAGGAGGAGGAGGTTTCCGCGTCGTCCGGTTAAAATATGACGCACTGATATTTAGTTACTCTCTCCGTGCCCGCTGGCTTGCCCGAACCCTAAGAGACCTGGAAACCGCAAAAAAGGTAGACGCTTAAATATGATTGCAGATCCCCTTTAAAGGAACCATGAAGGCAATTTAATTTTTTTTAGAAAGAAGGTGTTTTCGGAAGCATTGGGGTCCTGGCACACCACACAATTTTTTCTAGAACGTTGTGACTCTTATTTCTTACCTGCAAATAAATTTGCGAAACCGAAACAAACATTCAGATATCTTCCCTTTTTCGCCTCTGGAAAGAGAAGTGACGTCAGGGAGCACTGTCGGCATCGGTAGGATTTAATGCACACTTAGTGTGGTTTCCCTGGTTCGCTCTAGTGCACGGCGGTCTGTGAAGAAAACCTGGAAGAAATGGACGACAACGGCCGCGCTCGCAAACGAGTTTGAGCTCCCGTTCAGCGACCTCACGCCGACTGAACGGGAGATGCTGCTAAGGACGCACACTCTGGATTGGCGCTTTACGAGGGCGATGCAGCAATGCTGCGCATTGCTGCATCGGTCGGCAGTTTATGCAAACTAACGTCGCCCGATCGACCGCACGTCTTTAGCCGACCTTTCGCGCAACCTACTACTGCACATAAACGCCGCATGATTGGTGAGACAACAGTTCGCAAAGCGAGCACGAGACGACGCACGAAACCAAAACCAAAAGTCCACCGCCCCCGGCGCTCGTACCTCTTTTTTTCTTTCTTTTCTTTTTTTTTTTTTTTTTGTACATGGTTGCTCGATGCTTGTTACGCGCCCGAGGTAGCAGTGCGGGATGCGTTCAACCAGTGACAAACGGAGGGATCGCTTCAGATTATGCTTTTATACAGGGTATGAAACCTATTAATTCCCAACTACAACTTCAATTATCCAACGTTAAAATAAAAATTTTTCATCGCATCTCACCACCGAAATCGAAACCAAGAGCGCGTCTATCGTTTGAACCAATCGCCAGACGAGGAGCCCGTTGTCGTCACGCTTCGGCGCACTTTAGTTTACCTTTCTGCCGCCGCCTCGGTGGGGTCTCGGGCATCGTTCCCGGCGCTATTATTACCGCGCCTGTTTGCTCGATTGGTGCGGCACCCAAACTTCTGTTCGGGCTAGAACTTGGTCAACAGTATCTGAGACATGCCTGACATCCATTTCAATTGTTGAATAAAACTTCGAAACTGCCTTCATGGTTCCTTTAAAGGAGCACCGACCCCCCAAGGGGTCCATATCACAAGAGCGAATGACATTTTAGCGAACGGCGACATTTGAGCGAATGGTCGTTTTAGCAAATAACGGGGGCGCGCGTTAACCCATCCGTCGCGCTGCGCTTTACGCCGCTTCGCGGCGACAGTCTGCGGCAACTCATTACAAAAATATGAACTCATTTGGCCCACCCGAAAACGCCGCTTCGCGGCGTCCGACTATTCGCTAAAGTGTCATTCGGTGAAACGTGGGCGTTCGCTAAAACGTCATTCGATCAAGTGAGTGCCTCCCCCCCCCAAGTGTCGTATTTCTTTTTATTGTCTAAAACGATGCAAATTGTAGTCATGGACATGCAAAAAAAAAAAACACCGCATTGCCATTTTTTTTTTTTTTTTGCTTTTTTTTTTTGCTTTTTTTTGATTGGTGACAACAAAAAGCATGAAATTTCGAAGCTTTGTAGGCGACATTTCTATAACATTTAATAACGGCAATCGTAAAACATGTTTTTTAATGCAATTGTGAACGCGCTACGGCCCTTCTTTTTGAAATACCGAGAATGGGAGCCTGGTGTGATGTCGCCGATGTCGCCTCCTGGATTTGTATCTTCCCTCGGAAAACAAAAACCAAGCCACTCTCGTAATGGCTGCAAGTGCGTGGTTGCGGAAGTGATCAACCGTGAAACCGAGTGGCACGCACACTTGATGATGCTTGGGCCGAGGAATTTCCCAGCCCCGAACATTCTCCGCCTATCGGATGCATTGATGTCCACAAACACGCCGTCATCTGTGGTCCGCTTTCGGACAGTGAAATCATGAAAGTGGTTAGGCCTAAGAACGGTCACGTTGCTCTCCGTGCTGAGTGAGCTTCGTAGGGTGCTTTTCCTTCGGCAAAAAGCACGCCGGAAGTGCCGTAAAAAGGTTTGCAATTTATAAAGCATGGTTGCTGTGGCACACCCCCAACCAGCCGTGGGTGTGCCTCCATCAATGGAGACGTGCCACAGTACCTTGTTGTGTCATTATGGTACCTAATATGACACGAAGTGTGTAAATGCAAAAGTTTTACACCGCGTAATAAACCCCCCTTCCCCCCCCCCCCCCCCCCCCCCCCCAAATATGTGTCAACTTTCCGGGGAAAAAAGTGTGTTCATTATGCATGTAAATACAATATATTTCAATTGCAGTAATTTTCATATCACTCAAAACATTATAACTTGTTTTTTTATAGTATCTTTATATTTGACACTTTTTACAGCATCTTTTTGCAAGTGGATTCTTAGGAGTCATTGGTTCAGCATGCAACAGCAGACACAGCCAGCAATAGTGCAGTGCTTCCGGGCAAGCAGGAAATGTTGAAGCCATGAGAAGCACGAGTTGATGCAGCTACAGCAACTTGTGCACCAATTCATGCAGCAATGTGACACTTGAGCGTGCAATTATTTATTTTTCTCGACTTGAGAAAAGGAAAAACGAGTGCATTCTGCAGTACGCTCACTTCTCTGTCAGTCACCATGAAAAGATGGGCTATACGACAAACTTTCCAGTCCGCCAAAGATACCACCAGTCAGGTGTTGCCTTTCTACTGCTTGAAATTTATTCTAAAATCTTTTAAAATATTCAGAAGGGTATATATATATATATGTCCTTGTGCAATAGATAGTGCTTTTCTGTTTCTTGTTCTGTACCATTTTTCACTGCTCTCCTCTAGGGATGGCGAGGCCCACCAAACAGTGGATAACACCAGTCTTTTCTCGCCACACTCAGTTTGGTTTGTGTATTCAAACTGAAGTAAATGTTGATCGTTTGAAAGGAAAGCCCAAATCCTGAGGAAAATTCAGTTGCAATGTCAGATAAATTAAAAAATTAATTCATAAGCAAGGTCATGCAGCCCTGTTCACGGTCAACTCGCTTCGTAGAAGAACCAGTCCTGAATTGTAAACGTTGAGGCTCGTCTTCCCTTTGCATGCCCAGTGCCAGAGAAGATGTAAGCGGCATTACCGGGACGGCTGTCGCGTCGACATCCGGAGCCAAGCCAAAGCCGCCCTTGGGCAAGAGGAAGGGCAGGCCCCCCAAAACCGCAAGCCCCCAGAAGGCACGAGGGCCTGCATGCCACTCCCTCAGGGAGTACATGGTGAGAGCATCTTTGGGGGGGGGACTGCATCCAGGGGTTCCGATCTGGACACTCTATGAAAAAGTTTGCGACTAATCCGGTGGCCGTGATTGGCTGGTGCCGCACTTGGTAGCCGGCCAATCACGGCCGCTCAGATCCCTCGTCGACTTTTTCACCAAATGTCCAGATTAGAGGCCCAGGTGTGTGTAGCCATTGCAAAGCTGCCGCAATGCCAGCATATCGTGCCAATTTGAGTTGCTGGATATTCAAGATATCCAGCAAACAAAATATTTCAGAAATGTGTTTTCTGTTCTTTAAGATTTTATATTGTGGATTTCATTTGTACCTCTTGGCAAGAGGCACAAACGTGAGGAAGTTTATTATGTTATGTCTACAGCAGAAATTTTCCAACCTCAGGTAAAACCAGCTGCTGCACTTGCAACTGCTGCCGAACCAAGTCTAAGCGTGATCAGCTCCAAGGACAAGATGGAAAAGGTCAAGATGCTGCTGCAAGAGTGGATATGCTCTCGGGATGGTATGCCATTCTCCGACTTGTTGTTAGGGGCGAGTGGAAGGAGGAAACCCCCAATTGGTGGCAGGCAGAGAGCTTTGTGGGAAGGGGTTGTTTTACTGTTATATTCTCGCAACAGACTGTTGTGCCACTGCGTAATCCAACAGAAAACATATAGGTACCTCTCCAATATTAGATGGCCATAAAGGAGACGGTGCTAAACAAGCAGCAGTTAGTCCTACGTTGCTGCAGCAAGTTTCCCGGCCATGAGAAGAACAACTTTTAAAGGGGTACTCTGGAGATTTCTTTAGGTACCCCAACTGACTATACTTTCTGCGGCGTTTGCCCGCTCCAGTCTGCTGTTTAGTATTGTAAAATTCATTTTTCATTTCATTCATATTTCATTCATTGGCAAATGAAAAAGTTGCAAAAACCAACATTAAAATATACCCACTTTTCAGTGCCGTGTTGTCAGTGAAAGGCGGGCTTGCCAGCCGAGCAAGCAGTCTTAAAAAAAAAGACTATGCCAAGCATTTGTTCCGTGCTGGTGTGCGAGTACTGGAGCGGGCTTCCAAAGCATTCATTTGACACCATGAAACTGCTTGGAATCAGTGGGGAACAAATTCTGCATTCCGAAGAGTGAACCCCTGCCTTCCGCTGGCATCACTTTTTCTGTGTTGCAAGTAGGGACTTTCAATTTGAAAAACACGGTGAGGACCAAAATTGCAATTCAATAACATTGCGAAAAAAATTATTTGGAGCCAATACTTGGGATACTATTTTAGCGATGTTTGTTGGTTGGTTTAGCAAATTTTCAGGCAAATCGGGGACCATGAAGAAAACGCTGAAGTACCCCTTTAACAGTGAGAGCAGAAAACCAAAGACCAAAATGTAAAAAAGAGGAACATAAAAAAAAATTGCAAAGGACCGCACAAAATGTGTTTCGATCGACTGCGGCAGCTGTTGCATTTTGAAAGATGTGCTTTAGGAGCTTTGCTTTTAGTAGAATACAGCATGTAAACTAACGCTTTTAAGGCGCTTTAGACGGCCCGCAAAAATTGGTTTCTTTATGTATCGCGTTGCGATTTACTACAGAGGTGCAAGGATGTGATGGAAGTGTACAGTGAAAAAAATCAAGATATTAACTTGCCTCGTTCAAAAGAAAGAAAACAGAAACCTGTGCTGGGCAACCTACGCCGCCACTTGGCAAACAATGCGCGCATCGAGAGAAGTGCTACTGACAAATGGCATACGCCGTGTCAAGGGATTGCCGTCCAATTCGGATTATGATAGCAGGCAATCTCGCAGAAAAACCCAAATCGGCCAGCACTCGCTCGACGTGCCGTACATCATCTGCTTGCAGCACTTCTCTCTGCGCGCGCACCGTCTACAAAGTGGCGGCGTAGATTGCCCAGAACAGGTTTTTTTTTTCTTTTAAACGAAATAAGTTCATTCATTGATTTTTTTTTTTTTTTTTTGCACTGTAAACTTTTATTATCTGCTTGCACCTCCGTAGTAAATTGCAGCAAGATATCTTGAAAACCCAATTTTTGCGGGCCATCTAAAGTGCCTTAAAAGGGTTAGTTTACATGCTGCAGTTGTAGAAGCGTGTGTGCAATAGTCAGGGTCCTGCACCCTTTGTTGTTTTCGTGCCGCTGCCAGCCCGCTTGGCGCAGCGCGTTGGCCATTCCCACTCCTCGGACAAAAAGCAAACTATTGGAGACTTCTGCGAGTTCGACGGCCTCTAGTGGCTGGAAAAGAGAGCTGTCATGGCAGGTTCACTTGCCAGGTTTCTCAAGCGAATCAGATATTCAGTGCCTGGCAGTCTAAAGACGAAGCCATGAAAATAGGTTTGAAAACATCTGTTGAAAATCACCAATAGACAAACCGGAGAACCTTCCAGAACCTGGAAGTGGCAGCGGCGAGGGGGGGAGGAGATGGAGTGATGTGCATCTTACCAACACCTGTTGCCATAGATAGGGGCAACGGCAATGGAGAGAGTGATAGCACGGTGGTGTTACCACTCTCCCCCCGCTGTATGAATGCCGCCAAATTTGGCCGGAAAAAAAGCACTAAAAGCTACCGCTGTAAAACAGTCTTCCATTTCTGTTGCAGGTGAGATTTCGAACACGGATGTGGATGCATGGACACAACTCTTGGGCGGGGTTGTACAGGAAAGGAATCTGGAAAAGCTGGACCTCCTCTTGAAGTTCTTTTATCGGTAATACTTTTTGTCGTCGCAACATCTGCGAGTGCGTACAATGGAAAGCTTCCCTTTCGGTTCCTTTCAGAACTGTCCAGAGATCGGGAAGCAAGAAGTGGGAGGATACCTACATGAAGGTGATCAACGTTGTCCAGACCGAAGTTTTACAAGCGTTTGGGCACTTCATGAAGTTGCAGATATTTTAGAGGCAGTCTACTCGAGTTTTACTGCTATGCTTTTAATGACTTTTTGTTGCCGAAAAAAATGTCTACAAACATATTTACATATTCTGCTATATTTGTATGATATGAAATGTATACATAATATACGCCTCTATTTTAGATCAGCCTTGTGTGGTTCGTTGGAAGTAACGGTAGCACACAACAAAGAAGCACAAATGTAAACGGTTTGTTGTTAAAAAGAAATATGTTTGTACGAGCTTTATTCTTCTTCACAGAGGATCGTTCTCCTTGGACCTAAAATGCACATCGATAGTCACAAGTTTCTTTGTTATGAAATACAATAGACAATGAAATCTGTACAGAACTAAACAGAAGATGGCAAAAATAGGTATCCATTGCCATCTAAACACGAGCACTCAACTGCAGTCAACCTCTTCTTTTCCAACTGATGATATTTTCTGCAAAGATTCAGAATGACCTTGTGGCTCCATCTTAATTCTTAGTTTTGTGCAAGTCTCACACCAAACCGTCTGGCACAAAGAAAAGCAATATGGACGTATGCAAGCCATTGGAATTGATACCATTAATTTGAACACTCGGGCTCCAGTATTACACAAATCAAAACAGGCAGTTGCAAACCAATAGGTTTGCCCCTGTTGGTTTGCCTCGTAAAAGCAATGGCCTCATAAAAGCCCTTTGGCCTTTATGAGGCCATTGATTCAATGGGGTTCCAACAGAGCCTTCCTTTTGACTAGAGTTTCTATATAGGCTCCCTACGGAAGTCAGAGTTGCGTGTCTGTTTTCTACATGCTGCTGCGCCGCTATTCACCAAGATCGGTCACGTGAGGAGCAAAGAATCCTACACCGTGCAGGAAAGTCACTTCGTCGACGTTGCACGCACCTCGGCGTATGTCCCTCTGGTTTTGCCTCCCTCTCCTCCTTTCCTGTTTTCCAAGCATGGCGGCACGCACCACCGATATTCGCCGAATTCAGTCACGTGACGAGCAAAGGATCCCTGGCCATGTAAGAAAGTTGGTGCTATGGCCACCCGCTGAGTATGAGTGCACAACTCTGGCTCCCGTAGGGAGCCTATACAGGAACTCTACTTTTGACAGCACTCTTCTGAATCCTACTTGTCTGCTCCTGTCCACATAAATTCATTCAATACTGCATGATCAAGAATGTACCCACAAAAACATTTTTTACTTAAAGGGACACTGACACGGTATTTATGCTCGCCAAGGTTTTCATTTGGACACGACATATGAGAGCCCAACTACCCAGAACACATTTTGCGGCTCGAAATTAGTCTTCTTTCAGCCTGAAAACCACCAATCGAGAACTGGCCGGTTTGAGTCGTGCTCGCACTCTTCTTGGAGGTCATGTGCCATTTCCTATGGTTTACACACAACCATCAAAGATAATCAAGGTCGTGGGTCATCAAAGACACACATTCAATGCTAAAAATAGACAAACAATATGATACTCATCTTTTGTGGCTAGTAAAAAAACTGAAAATACATTGATTGAAAAAAAAAAAAAGTTGCACAGCCACGCGATTTTTGGTAACTTTCTCCTCCTCTATATTTCTTCCTCCACCGTTCCAGTTTCAGTTTTGAGCAGTTTCATTTTTTTACTTTATTAAAGATATAGGAAACGCTGTAGCAAAATATTGATTGGGTAGTCTTGACACCATAATAAATCGCCTGGCAAAAAATAACATTTTTTGGGGAATGTCAGTGTCCCTTTAAGAATGAGAAACTAGTCGACATTAGAATGTACTCACTGTAAACGTCACCTTCCTTTTCAGCAGATTAAACAATACCCTATCGCTCGGCACATAGTAGTTCACCAAAAAACACCAGGTATGGGTAAAAACAATGAACGCTCTAGCTTTGCATTCCAAAAATTGCACAAGTGTTCCACTCCTAAAAATCAAAAAGTAATTCCTTTATTCCTGACCAAGCCAGCAGGCATCCTCGCATTGTGTCAGGCAAGCACGGTCCTTGCAGACTCATGTGCACCGGGCAGCAAGAAAATACAGCCAGAGTCAAACTGCACATCTTCACACACTTTCCGGTACAGCCGAGGACGAAAGAAAACTGAAGGCCAACTACCGGTGTACGAGTGTTAAAGGTTCACGACGCAAACCGCACATATACATTTCACACATCACCATAAATGGGCACTTGTAAATTGGATGCACCAGGTATGGTCACTCGGTAGGGCTCCAAGCTTGATTTCAGTTTTGCCACTTGGCCATACATTGGATGATCCCCTCACCCAGTTTATCCCTGTTCTCATAAAAATGCCCCCTTTAAACTTTCATTTCCAGCTACTTTTTTTTTTTTCTCTTTGACAAATCAGGTGACTGTAGGTACAGGGGTTCAACAGAAACACCAGACTGTTTTCAAGATGGTATGAGGTATGAATAGGCACCAGTTCGTGCTAATGAATCACTAATGGTGTACTGGTGACAGATTTCTCTCGAAAAGAAAGTTAGTACCCCTCGCAACAGTTGTGTCCGCTTAAATGGTCTCGTTACACCATTGGAGTTGATTTCGAAAGCTCAGCATTACCTGCTGTAGGATTGCCTGCTGTGGCATGTTTTCAGTCTTCTGTGTAATGCATTAATCGAGTTTATTCCACGTGACTGGTTTTGTAGCGTACGCAGCATTTTTTAAATAACTACACAAAAAAAAAAAACGTCTGGGGGGGAACACCAGGAAAACAGGGTAGCCAATACAGACTTGAATAGGTAGCTCAACGGCAGCAATACGGTCACGCGCGGGCCACTGGTCCGGGGCAAACTAAACTCCGATGTGGAGGCTTATTGGGCACTACAATGAAGGGTGGTGTTACAAGCCTTTACCACCTTAAAATTTCCATTTTAAAACAATCGGGTGCTTCTGCTAATCCCCATTTACTGCACCGTCACCTTTTGCTGCCTAGATGACTTATGGTCGACAGATTCCTTTATATTACGGCACTCCGGAAATTGCCGAGGCGACTCCCAAGACCAACTGGTTCTTGCGCCGTCGCAGTTTCTTTCGTCCACCGCTGTACCGCCCCCCACCTGTACAAGAACAATCTCTGGCCGCCAACAACGCGCCATTGACGCACGGATCTTGACGTTCCAAGGTACGGGCAGACACGCTTTATTCCTCGCAAGCGCGAACTCCGCTGGGGCCGCAAACTCGCGTCGAAAGACGCTCAATTATGTACACGACGGTCCTTCCATCTGGCACGTACAAACACGGTCCCGCCGCCTCTAGACGGCGGCACACAACATTCACTTGGCGCTGAACGTCAGGACGTACTTGACCGTGTAGGCGAAAGCGGCGAAGCCGACGATGACGAAGATGTTGGTGAGCGTGCTGCCCAGGAAGCCGTAGCCCTGCTCGGCCATGCTGCTTCCGGATAGGCTCCGCTGCTCCGCCAGGTAGGCACTTTGGGCCTCTACTTCCGCATTCCTCTTCGAAATCTGGTCCTTGATGTCCTGCGACAGACCAAGGCGCCAGAGCGTGACCGAGCGCGTCACGCCTGGTCGTAAGCGCTTGTGACGAGAGACTGCACTGGCATCATCTATTAGTGGAGCCCCGGAACATTCCCGATCTGCGTATAACTAGACCGAAAGTTTTGCGGCACTTGCAAGATAAATTCTATGCACCGTCTGCGAGATGTGGTCGCTCATTACGTTCCCAAAATTATTTTAAACGCGCGGTGAGAAAATGACGCATGAAATAAACACGGATTGGAAGCATTCCTGGACTACCCATCAGAAGGTGCCAGTGGGTTCTCATAAGCGGTCAAGGGTGGACGCAAGCGTGTGGACCGACCTAGGTTCCTCGCTCCCCAAAGAAATGTGTAACGGCTCCATTAGAAAACGCCCTCGTGCCCCAGAATTGCTGCACTCATAGCCAAGAGTCAAATCTCGCCGCTAGGTTGTGACCCATTTCGCTACAGAACGCAACGTCTAGAGAGCTTTCTGGTTCGGGGCCCGCTCCCGGGTGCAAATACTTACGTCGACCAACTCCGGGAAAAGTTCACAGAAGACCTGGTCCTTCAAATTGAACTCCAGGCTTTCTCTTGCCAACTGGCGTTTCTGAAAGACGATCGCTCGTTAGGAGCGGTTCTTTGCAAGCGAGTTGGAGGCGCAACCAAAACGCCAGAGATGTTGCTTACCTCCCTGTCTGTAGTGTCAATGCTCCCTAATGTTGGATTCTTTTCCACCTGAAAGAAAGGGACAGGCAACCGTGCTGGGTCAGCGGACAGAGGCACTGAGGCTGCTGAATATCTCAATACAGAAAACTTCAACTGAAGACAAACTATTCTGTTGTATCCTAGCCACAAGCAGCTTCCTCATTATGCTCCTCTCCACGATCCTTAAAATTCGAAACTGTGACTTTACATATTTGGCACAATGCACTGTGCAGCGGTGGAAGCAGCCCACATTTCCGGTAGGGGGTTGCGTACTGCATGCTATGACCCAGCAGTGTGTACCATCGGGTTCGAATGAAATCTGAACAGTGATGGAACTTCGAGCCCACTACCGGTGCAGCTTCCAAGCTTGCGTTGTGCTTGGCGAGGTCCAAACACATCGGAGAAGGACGCTGTGCGTCCTAATCCGATGTGTTTAAACCTCGTCAAGCACAACACAAGCTTGGAAGCTGCGCCGGTAGTGGGCTCAAAGTTCTGTCAGTGTTTGTGTTTCATTTGAACCCAATGGTACATACCTTTCAGACAACTGTAAGCGCACAAACAATTGAAACATGTTTGTTCTAGCAGTACAATGTTGGTGGCATTTCGAAGCCAATTCACATAGTTACGGGTTCACACTTGCCACGTGGCTTTATGACACTTTTTGAGATTAAATAACTTCTGCATACGCTTTATAGAAGCTGTATTTCTGCAAACCAGTAATGGGAAAGTACATTGCGCTAAATGATAAAATAAAGTCCTACAAACTAAGCGCAAGTCAAAGTGGCAGAATAAACTGCGGCAAAATTGACACATCAAGAGGCGGACACAGCTTCTGAGCTGGAAGCAGTGACACCGTGAGCAAGAGAGAGATGGGGTTTCTTCGCACCATGAAGCTGAGCAGTCCAGTCAGGATGGTAGCCACAGACCAGGCCGGGTTCCAGCTGTCCGGGTGGAAGTCGGAGATGCTCAGGCAAAGCCGGGTGTTGCACTTAAAGCGGCCGCTTGGCGTGATCATTAGGATGCTCGGCGGCTTGAACGGAAACTCCGCCGGAAACATCAGCTTCCCGTGGTAGATTCCGTCTGGACGCAGTAATGCAGTACACACTCGGTGATTCGTCCATAAACACGTCGGGACGTTCTCCAATTATATATATTGTATCACCGGTTGAATGCAACACTGTGAAGGGTTCCAGTGTGAGAGTTTGGCTTTGTGCAGCATTTCAGTTTGATGATTTTATTTATTTCATAATGCTACCAATTCCTACAATAGGGATTGATGGTAATGTAAGTGGTGCAGTGTCCTGCGGAAGATTTTGTAGAAAATTATGTTGAAAGGGGGCGCCTCACGAATTGCGATTTTTTTTTTCCGGTAATGCGGCAGTTTGATTTTATTTCTTGGTTAGCTCTAATGTGAATACTTAATAGTTTGTTCCTAACGTAAACTTTTTCTCTTATTGCCAGCAGACAGGGAAGCTAATTTATTGTGCACCGACAAATGTGCACTACCTATATTTACAAGACGAGGATGGCAGGAAGGAGTCTGTTTTCTCCCATCCCCAAGTATGGCTTCCCGCCTTCGATGACACTTCATGCTTGCACGTGCAGCCAAAAGGCAAGGAGCACATGCCGGCTGTGCGGAAGGAATGCCCCGCAGTTCTTGTCCCATCTACGACTAAGCGAACGGGCAAACGAGCACATTTGCTGTAAACTGTACTGCAAAATATTGGTCCCTTTGAGAGCCCCACTTCTAACCTCTGGAGCTGCCAAGGTGCACACAGCAACAGTTCTCCACTAAGCAAATACACAATATGAGCAACTTACTTTCGTACGGAGTGTTCTCGGGTCCTCGGACAACATAGTGCCTAGAAAGAGATGGGTTCCAGAAAACATACAGCAAACTTTTGGCCGACTGCCATTCAATTTCACGTTGCTTTCACGTTTTCATCAAAAAGACTGTTACATGTCAAAGAGAACCTTTCAATGGGAACTTTACCAGTTACTATGGTTACATAGTACATTGGTGCTCTACAGACCTATCAAATTGCATCCTTCACTGTCAGCTAGAAATTTGTTAGACATCTTTCTTCATTTAAAGAAAAATTAATTAAACTTCAAGTACATAACTTTTCCTAACTTAATCTACTAAAGAGATCATACTACATTACTCGTGACATCACCTTCATAATAATGAAGTTGACTTTTTTAAATTGGTGCAACATTTTACATTGCTCTGTGCCACAACATACCAGGGTATGCACTCTGATAACAGCAACTCGTGCATTGAAAAACATATCCTGGTAGTGGAACTTTCAAGTGAAGGTTGAAACTGTCTCTTTAGACAAGTCAAAACTACAGTCCATTTCACAGTCATGTCAAAATGGTAGATTTTGGGCTTGAAGCAAAGAGTGGTTGTGGTCAATTTGATTATTTTCTAATTGAATATTGAATAGTTTCCCAAAGTCTCACTACCGTGCACCATGCTTAAACGAAAATTCATTTGAACTCGTGAAGGTTCTTCCCAACCTTTCCCTTGTACACTTCTAAGCTCAATTAATTTTAACCATATGAACTGTGGCACGTAAACGACAGATTTGTCGCAGCTATCTTAATCTAGGGAGGGGATTTATAAATCTGCTTGCTATATGCAAATGTTCTTTCTTTTATTTCAGACTTGACACACACAAAACAAAAAAAAAGGGCAAGCACGAATTATGAACGTGGTTTGTCAAGACATCCCTGCCTAACATGTACCTTTGCATAAGCTCAGCAGGTTTGCCCCGTTGAGTGCGCTTCACAGCGAGCACCTGTGCAGTGCGGGGAAGCAATACCCGCAGAGGCCGCAAGCTCCGTGGGTATCGCTTCCCTACAGTGCACAGGTGCTCAGTGAGAAGCACACTCAACGGGACTAGCACGCCACGATTAACACTTTGAAAAGTATGAATATCGCAGTTCAGCTCGAAATCGAAACAAATAGCGTATTATTCTAAACTACTACGGTATTCATATTTGCACAACACTACCATTTAACAAATCTCAGCCCCGATATTTCCACAAAAGGTGCTTCTTCCCTCTCATATCGGTTAAAGTTCCTTGTGTCTGTCTTACAAGTAGCATCAAATGCGCACAAGGCTCATGCCTCGTGTAGCCCTTGGAACCAAATGGCAGCAGAGCACTCGATCGAGGCACACGTCTTGCTTGGTCACACAACAATGGTTGCTGGTACTTGTAAGAAGTGCAAAGCAGGAATTTTATAAAGGGGTTTTAGTGTCTATGGCTTTCAGAATACTGCACAAAACTTGTGAGATTTAATATACTTGCATGAGATAGGCCTTTTAAAACTGTGTGGCCACCTAGCAACACTTGCAGCAACTTTGCTTCTCAATTGAAAAAAAAAAAAAAAATAGAGCTCCTCTGAAATTAGTGTTGGTACAATTACTCCCTTCAAATTGTCTATTTGCTGTTAGCACTTTATGCCACCAGTTACCATTGGCAGCAATAAATCCATTCATTACATGAAGTCATTGATTACACTTTGAGCTTGCATGTGCAGCCAAGGCACGACAAAACGCAATGAGTGCATGCTGGTCGTCTGAAAGGAATGCCCTGCAGTTCTCGTCCTGTCCACGACTATGGCGAATGGGTAAGCAAGCACATTATGGGTGGAACCAGCTGAACATTTAAGGAAGGAGACACAGAAAAGGCAACCACTCGCTGGACTACCAACTCTTTTAATAGATCCTCCTCCTCTTCTACTAAATCTGATGCGTATAAATTTTTAATTTTTTTAGTTTTTTTTTTTCTTATTCCTATTTTTACTTAGCAGAGAGGGCACCCTTCAAAAAGAGCTTTTCTTGCAGCTGTAGGGTTATTGAAGCGGAGCCCACACAGTTTTGTTCTTCATTGTCTATAACCAAGGCCTTTAACATCTCCCTTGCAGGCTGGTTTTTATGGTGCCCTATGTGCCGGCTTGCTCGAGCTTTGGTTTGCACTTGCAAGTTCGACAATGGGCAGCGAGGTGTCCTGGTCCCGCGAGATTTTTAACGTTGGCCGCATGTTCACGTGCACGGTTGTTTATGCATCTCCCCGTCTGTCCAATATAGCATCGTCCACATGTTACCGGTATGCTGTAAACGACTCCTTTTTGGCACGGAAGGTATTTTGTCTTGTGTCGGGTGTCACACCTATCTTTCATGTCCGTTTGTGTCTGATTAATCTTGCGGCATAGGCTCATCCACACCTCGCAAGAAAGATTTTGCATAGATATGCAAAATCTTTCTTGCGAGGTGTGGAATAGCCATCCAGGAAGCCATACAAGATGCACAGATAGGGGTTATTTTTAGGTATGTAGATGACTTTCTTATTTTGTGCAACACAGAAGTCGACGAACAAGCCGATGGATGCCTTAAAACCACCTTGACACAATTCGAAAAAAGCTGGATGGGCCTCATTTTCACCCACGGAATTCCAGTGAATAAATCAATTCGGTTTCTTGATTTGGCATTGAAATTCCAAGCAGGGCATGTCTGTTGGCAATACCAAGCACGATCAGGAAAAGGGTTTCTTCCTTATGATTCTGAACACTCAAAAAATGTTAAGCAAGGAGTGGCCATCGCAGCCCTCTCCGCAAGCCTAAAGACCTGTCCCCATGAAGTCCAACAAAGCTTTGATGCACAGATTTCACGACTTCACAATGCCGGATATCCAAAAACCTTATTGGCCTCCATATGTGAAAAAATATGCCACAGTGTCAAGAGGAACAATGCCCAAAGTGAAGAACAAGCAAGGAAAACAAAGAAGTCCTTCGCAGTAATCTCGTACATTCATGGGGTCACCCACAAATTGAAAAAAATAGCAAACCGGCAAAACGTTCGTGCTCGACCCCCAATAAGGCATATTCCCTATGCCGCAAGATTAATCAGACACAAACGGACATGAAAGACAGGTGTGACAGAAGACAAAATACCTTCCAAGCCAAAAAGGAGTCGTTTACAGCATACCGTTAACATGTGGACGATGCTATATTGGACAGACGGGGAGATGCATAAACGACCGTGCACGTGAACATGTGGCCAACGTTAAAAATCTCGTGGGACCAGGACACCTCGCTGCCCATTGTCGAACTTGCAAGTGCAAACCAAAGCTTGAGCAAGCCAGCATCATAGGGCACCATAAAAACCAGCTTCCAAGGAAGATGTTGGAGGCCTTGGCTATAGACAACGAAGAAGAAAACTGAGTGAGCTCCGCTTCAATAACCCTATAGCCGCAAGAAAAGCTCTTTTTGATGGGCGCCCTCTCTGCTAAGTAAAAATAGGAATAAGAAAAAAAAAAACACAACTAAAAAAATTAAAAATTTATACGCCTCAGATTTAGTAGAAGAGGAGGACGATCTATTAAAAGAGTTCGTAGTCCAGCAAGTGGTTGTCTTTTCTGTGTCTCCTTCCTTAAATGTTCAGCTGGTTCCACCCATAATGTATCATAACCAACTAGCTCAACTCATTCCCGTAGTAAGCAAGCACATTTGCTACAAGCTGTACCAAGAGATATCGGCCCCTTTGAGAGCCACAGCTTGGCAGTTGAGTTCATCTCCGCTGCTCGGGTGAGAACATCTCGCCTAAAGTTTGAACTTGCCTCAGAGTAAACAAAGCAATGCTCGCCCCCAACTATACAATATTTTTTTTACTAGATTCTCTATTGCACTTGCCACCACCTAGTAGTGCCAAATGAAGAGTTGTCCTCATACTTTGTCTCAAGCCAACTGATCAAATTGTGAGCTCTAAATGAGCTCCATTCTTCAGCCAGTGGAACAAATCGAGTGTTAGAACAAGCAGTGGTACTGGTGTTGTCATGCACTTGCGTATATTCGTGCCCCTGGTGTACATCCTGTTTGCTCGACATCTGATCACAAACAGTGAATATGTTTCAGGGTGTCAACCAAAATTATGCTTGCAAATTCCACAACTATTTTATTAAAATTCCACAACCGACTCATAGGAGGACCAGAGATGTCTCAAGTGCAGTTTTTATGTTAAAATGGTAACTACTTAAGGGGGGACACTACCAAGAAAAAAAAATTTATGCAGAAAAAGTTGATCTTCAAAAATGCCATATTTACATCCACCAACATCCACAGAGTATTCCCAGAAAGTTTCATTAGTTTACACTGCATAGTTAATTTTTTTATAAATTATTTTCGGACCACTGAATCTAAAGAAAAGGTAGCGGTTGGAGCACCTTCAAATGCATTTCTCTCCGTTCCACTTTCTGGCATAAATTTCACTTTAGGAAAACTATTGTTTGTTAATGGGACAAGAGGAAAGACTCTCTCATTGTTTTTCCTAACTGGAATTTTATGGCAAATGCCACTGTGGAATTGTTTTTTTTTACTTTGTGGATGTCTTTTATAAAAGATGTTCAGATTTTGTCGACGACATAAAAGGCAAAAACTTTATTCGATTTTTTACTGCGATGTTAGCATAAAAGAAATCTATTTGGAAATTTTGTTTTCACAGTTGCACTCTCCAGGCATTCTGCTGCAGACCTAGAGTAGAAAAATGTTGGGTATTACATTTGTTTCCTAACAATAGTTTTTCTAAACAGTCAGTCTGTTCCTGATAAAAGTGACTATAATTTATTTTACAATTCATGTACACCGATCAAACTTTGCACTGCATTCCGCCTCGCAACTGCGAGTATATAAAGTAAATTTCGCTCATATAGAGCCATAGGTTCAAAAGTTGACCCTCTTGGGTAGTGTCCCCCCGAAACTTTTGCTTTACTTGAAGTACATTCTCTGAGTATTTACCAGTACTTAAACTATCTTTTCTGCTACTTTCTGAGGAACGTACAACTCTCAACTTCAAAG